ATTCTTATGAGGGTTGAATTAAAAGCAATGTCATTACTCTTAAGAAAATAAAATAAAACACAAGTGATTGAGGAAAAAAATATGCATAGAGCATAGAATAATACTATATGAATTGCGATTTTAAAAAGTAGAAAGAATAAACCCAAAGAAGAAATATGTTTTCATAAATGATTTCTATGAGGGTTGATCCAAAAGCAATGTCATTACTCTTAAGAAAATAAAATAAAACACAAGTGATTGAGAAAAAAAAATTCATAGACTATAGAACAATAATATATGATTACATGATACCTATTATCCATTTTCTAATCAGCCTAGGATCAACCAAAACAAAAGAGATACTATGGTTAACTATAGTTAAATATATGAAACTATAGTGATAACTTTCACACAATGAAAACTGATTTTCAATAGTGATAACTTTGACATTTTGAAATATATGAAAACAACGAACAGTATTCAAGATCAAAAGTCCATAAAACAATTATACAAAACAGAAGCAGAGCAAACACGGACCTTCAAAACATCAGAGGTGGGATCATGTGCCATGGAGGAGTGAGCATCCCCTGCAGACCGGTCACACCCGCCCATTGACTTAAGTTATAACTTTGACACATTGATCTATAGTTATATCCTTAAAAACTCTTATATGTGGTATGTAACTTTAAAACAAAGAAAACTACATATTTAAAACAAAGAAACAACAAACTGTATTGTAGTGTGTACATTAATCCATTGATAATGTCATACACCAGCACTAAACAATATTCTAAAGATCCATGCCCGGTGCAAGTTATTGCAGCCTGGAGGACCGGGCTGCTCTATACATATAAGTTTAAGTTTTAGTGTATGGGATTGAGGTGGGAGAAGATATTCAGAATTAAAGGTCATCTAAACATTAAAAAGATTATACATCAGAATGTTCTTAACCTTTATAAATTACGAGATACACAAAATATCTACGTCCATCAAGTAAATCTTTAAATATATATTTGTTTTTCATATTTGATATATATAATTGCTTATTATTTACTATCAAAAACGACAGGTCCCCTTTTTAGAACAACGAATGAATTGTACTTATTGTATAAAAACGTGCGTTACACAGTTCGTTTTTTTAAATTCTTTAAGTGAAAGATATTTTTGAAAATAGGTGATGCATGTGTCTGATTTTAGCTTATATTTTATGCAGCCAAAATTTACTGGAGGAATTGATAAAGTTTAAAAGGATATCGTTTTTGTTCGATTTTCATCCGACTGACAGATTCCCTTTTCCCTTTTTCACACATCTTGAAGCAGTTTGATGATAAAGATTCATTTCCATTGTTTACTTTAATCATTTCCCGAGTGACAATTGATGGTTACATCAATGTTTTCTAGTTTATATAACGTTATAATGTTATTCGTAATTAAGTTATATTAAGTTATCCTTAAGCTTGGTAGGTACTTCTGATATTCTCATATTTGAGCGTTTGCTACATGTATTGAAGGATATGGAGATAACGAACAGTATTCAAATAATATCAAAGTTCATTAAACAATATGAAATAGGAGCAGAGCAAACACTGACCTCCAAAACCTAAGAGGTGGTATCAGGTGCCATGAAGGAGTGTAGCTTAAAACAGTATTTTCATATCAATATGTGCATTTTTACGTTTGGGCGCTTACTATATACATGTAATATGTATTACAGTATTTTCATATAGAATTAGTTCCTACTTAGCCATATTGAGGAGGAAGAAGCATAAATCATAATCAAGAGTAATTTATATTTCTGCTTCATCCTAAAATTTCGAAAGTGACTCCTTCACTTGAAACAATATTATGTTGAGAAACAAGTTTTGGTTTGGCATTCTATTAACATCACCAGCGGAGCAAACGCGAAAAGGAAAACAAGGGATCCGGAAGAAGAGAAAAAATCGGGTTGTGGCCTTCCATTCGATAAACAGACATATATCGACGACGTTTCATCAATCAAAAATAGTTACATATAAGATTATGCTTTGGGTACGGCCAGATTTTAGGTCTAGTCAAGTTTCAGAAGACAAGTTAATGTTAAAAAGATTTAAACAAACTCTTTTAAAGTGACCATTTCATAGATTCAATTATTGTTATAATTATATTGTTAACAAATATAACGTACCATTGGGTCGATTTTTGGCTGAGGTATTTCTGACTTATTCTTAGGCTTTTGATTTGGTTTACTTGATTAAACCAAGGAATGTTCCGTTTAATTTAACAAAGGAATGTTCCGTTTACCTGATCCATAGTGCTCACACAAAGTTTGACAGTTCGACGAGGGATACTTACTCCTCATATGAATGTGATCCAGCTGTGGCCCGTATTTTATGACCTGCTCTGGTAGATTATTTGAGATTGACAACAATCTGTTATCTTCACCTTTATTCATTTGAAACGTTTTGAATTTATTTTATTCACAACTTGGTGCAGGATTCACAAAAAGAATACCCAAGATAGGTCATTAAATCTATTATTTGTTTTATTTTCCTTTTTTCATTCGTTATAAAGCTTACAAGTTTCGAAAAAGGCACAAATGTAGAATTCATTTAAACAAAAATTGCTTTTTGAGATATGTACATAAAAGTTCGGAATGGGGAAAGGTAAAAGTGCCACTTTTTACCAATGATACTCAAAGTATGCGGTAAATAGCAGTAACCTCCCATCTAAATATAGTGCAAATTTAAATCTAGAACACAACAAGGATAGTATAAAAATACTGAGTAAAAAATTAAATACAACCTCAAAAAATTAACATTTCACTCATATGAATTGGTTTCAGTTTTCAACATAAGCACAGATTATGAGCTGAGATATAGGAATTTATCAATCTAATATGAACCCAAAGATTCACAAAAGAACAAAATTAAGAAGATGATAGAACAAGCATGATGTATAATAAAGAAAGCAATGAGTTTGTGTATATCCAATGATAAATACATATACAAGAGATAAACTGCATATACTTATTGTATTTTTGTATGACGCACCATTCATATTAATAGTTAGTCACCTATAAATGTAATTGTTGGACTTAATTTCGAATCAGATGCTTTAATCAACATAGTTGAACTACTAAGTATGTGCAACAAGAAAATTGGTGTTAACTATAAAAATACCTTTACACCATCAAAAATTACTTCGTGTAAGGGTTAGTTGACCCATGTATCAAAGCTAGAAATATTAACGGACTGGTACTACTTGCAAATACGACCTACAGTATATAGTCCTTAAATATGTGAACTGTACATTTTTGCGGTGGAAATGGATAAATAATTCTCTAATGATTAAAAGTGTGGGGTTTTTTTTCTTGTAGTAACACAAGTCGCAATGAAAAAGTTCCTTTTGCATTAGAGTATCTATTGGAAATTCATAATGATATTTAGATGTATTTTATTTTTATTATATTGTATTATTCATTTTATTTTTTTTTCAGAATTTGAGTGCACATTAGGGAAATGCAAGGATGGTCTTCCTTCCCTATATTACTTACGGCTTTGAAAACATAAAATACATTTTGAAATACAGACAAAGACATTATTTGACACCACATGGACTTTTAATCGGATACACTGTACTGAAGGTAATATTGGGTGTCTGTGTTTTATACCCTTTTCAAAAATATGTATTTTTTTTTTATAAATCTTCATTATCTTGATCTTGTCATTCCATCAACAATCGATCGAGCATGCTCCTCCTCTGATCTTTAGAGCAAAAATACGATCACTAACTTTTCCTAAGATGAAATCTTCTGACAACTAAATATATGTAGATTTAATCTTATTCACGTGAAGAATATGTATTTAAAAAAACTTCTCTAAAGAGTTCGATTACATGTGCAATGAAAGACAAGGAATAAACTGCAATTGATATCGAAGAAAAAATAATAAATTCAAAAATTGTTCAAATTGAATTTTCTGATTTAAAAAATATGAAAAAAAAAATTATTATATGCATTTCAGGCGCACATACAAAGTTTAAATATATTTCATATCAATGAACTGAATATGATACGCATGTGAGTTAAGGCTATATATAGAGGTTTCTATGCAAAATATCTAATTAAATTCCATAATTACTCTACCTTCCGCACAGAAAATACTATGACTTGTTTTCTAATACATTCTTAGTACCCACGACATGCGATAACCAGTTCACATTATGACGTCATATTATGACGTCATCGACCTGTACTACAGAAGTTTATAAGATACATCAACAAAATCGCTTCGGCACAAGGGCATACCTTACTTTGTTTAACAGAAACAAGGTATAAAAAGACGCAGGATATTTCAAAGATTTAAGATATTGCTGCACAAATAACGGCACTGCAATTGTTTAGTTACTATTCCTGCAGTTTTAAGTTTAAACAGGGTAAAAATTCACAGTCCAGTGTAAGTTTTCTAAAATTTTTATCGATTCAGAAAGTGCATAGGATTTGTGCAGCAATTTTATCAATTTTAAGAATATTCTCTTTAATGTTATACATTATTTATTTTAAATTAGATAGGATATGCCCTTGCGCCGACGTGATTTTGTTGATGTAATTTACTACAATGAATGGAAGAGAACAATGACGTCATAATATGACGTCATAATGTTCACTTGCATTAATAAACTGTGGGTACTAAGTATGTAAAAGAAAATCAATTTGAATCTTCTCTGTACAAAAAATATACAAATTATGAATTTTTATTAGCTCATTTGCATAGAAATATCCATATTTAGCCTTAACTCACTTGCGTAACTTATTGAAATTATTATTACAAAATCATCTCATAATATTTCGTATAGCTGTATAGGTAATTTGTGTTAAATATTTGAATGAATACATATTTCAAACACTATATGCCAGATTTCTGTACCTAAATAGTATGTCAATATATCTATATAGGAAATTTCATACATTCTAACTAACATATATGTAAGACATTTGCATTGACACTGAAATTCTAGATCTAAAGTGTTGTTTTACTATTAGGTAAGGGGTTATAGTGGGCGAAAAATGCGGATTCGAATTGACTAATAGCTAGTTCGTTCATGTGTGACCCACAAGGCATAGGTACCTTGAACAAAGGATAGACACTGGATTAATAAAGACCAGATAAATTATGTGATACGTGTACAAGTACTACAAAAGAATAAAAGAAAATTCAATGCTGTTCACCAAAATGGACTTAATAAGAAATTGTATTGCTGGAGCACTGATAGCATTTGTTTTTGGAGCCGCTTACGTTTTTGAGGCTAGATTGAATGGCGTTATTAAGGAAGTAAATAAACAAAATAAAGAGTTATTGTCCCTTAAGTTGAACCACCAAACGAAAGTAGAAAAGTTGGAAAAAATAACTGAGGCCAATGCCAAAGAGTTGGAAACACAAAAAGCTGAATTCAGAAATCACATTAAGACTCTAGAGAAAAGCATTGACGAAATAAAAGAGAAGAAACAAAAAACAGGTACATGCTATGCATTTTTTCCTTGAGAAAGAGTTTTGGAATTGTTTAATTTATTAATGTAAAACGTTTCTGGAAATTGATCCATAAGTCTGCTCCCATAAATATTACCCATCTTAATTACTAGATGTAAATTTCACAATCCAGTGTTAGACTCTGAATACTCAGGCGCAAAAATCCAGCATTTGTTTTCTATCAAAAATGAATCAATATAAACTTGCTTTTCTTTAAAGTATAATTTTAAATACTTCACAAGTAACAGCTTTTCAAAAACGTACCTGACTAAATCAATCAATACCTGCATAAGGGGTGATAAACTTTTTGAGCAATGCTTTTGTGGGTTTAAAATGTCCTTACTTTATATTTTGAGAACCTTGTGTAAATGAAATCTTGATTTTATTATCTCTACACTGCATACTAAAGAGTTGTTATCTATAGGGGTTTTCTGCAGTGAGTGATCTGCCCTTGGAGCTTTCAAGCTACATTGCAACATCTATTATAAAATATGTTGTCAAATCATGTATTGTAAACATTTTTTAAGGTGGATATAATTAAATACACATTTTGTTGGAGTGTATTTTCTCCACGGAAGTAAAGAGAAGTAATTAATGTGTGCTCATTAATGTTTTTTTCTCAAGAAGGTGGGGGGGGGAAGTGCCACTATCAAATACCAAGAATGAAATAAGTAAGTAAAATACGTAGGCCTTTGTGGGAAAGAAAAATCCAATTTTTGCACTGGTTTCTTATTTATTGTGTGCATCGGAACGGACACATATAATAGATCATGCATCTAGGGACCATGATTTGTTGAACTGCGTTGTTTATTGTTATTGGACTTTATTTATGGAATAAACCAACCGCGGGATCGGGAAACAAATTAGAATAAAATATTTCGTTAGTGTTGATGTTCATACGAGGGTTGTTCGAAAAGTTCGTGGATATATCTTATTTTCTATGTCATGTTATCAAAATTTGTTAGAAATATTTTAACAACGAATTTTAAGGATTTGAATTTTTTTAATATCATGATTTATTCAACACTTATCCAGATTTAAAAAGTGTAAAAATCGGGTCGCTGAGCAGGTCAAAATTTAGTTAGTTACAAAAATACAATAATGTCTGTAGTCATATACTCTCTGTGAAATGGAGCAAAAACGCAAAACAACGTAGAAATTAAAATCAAAAATTGTTACATCGATTCGAATTTCAAAGTAGGGCTTAATATTTTGCTTCGTTGAAAAGTAATCAGCTTGAGAAGTTAGGTAGTCTTGACCTCATTGAAAACGACAAAAACGACGACGTTTTAGAACGTCATGGAGCAGCAGATAACGATGCAATTTTGTGTTTTACACAGGAAAAATCCTGAATAAACTCTAAACATGATATAGGAATGAAACAAATATGTCACAAGCGAGTTGTACACGTGTGGACAAATAGTACAGCCAGTATATTTGAGTGACAGTGACCCTCTATCGGATGAGGACAATCTGTGAAGAAACGGTTTAACTATAAACATCTGAAAAGCTACTTTTAAAAATTGGAACGCCTCAGAGTTGCTTATCCTGTGAAAAACAGAGTTAAGTAATAAAAGAAATTGAAACCTATAACAAAGGAAATTAAAAATCGGAAACAATTGTTAAAAAATAAATGTTAAGTATTAGAAAAAGGGTTTTAAATGAGTGGGTATTGGATAATACTGTATATACTGAAATGTGTAGGGATAGTATTTTTTAGAAATTCTTGACGCTATGTTTGGACGTTACATTGCCGAAAAATGGTCAGAGGGTGGTTACTATAGAATAGAGTCTTTTTTACAAAATTTCCCAACCGTGAAATGTATGACGTCACATAGCAAAAGCAGAATATTAAAGACAAATCATGTGCATATTGATGATGACAAGTCTTTCAACAAATTTTGTAATATCATTTGATGCACTGGAGTTGCACACATAGATTTATCATATAAACTGTTATTTTGATTTTCTTGAATTCGATTTCATTTTATATTTCTGAACAAACGTTGTCGAAGTAAATGGCAACAAACAGATGAGCTACAGATACTGTAAGAGCCATAATAGGACACAACATTTTGATTATAGAATAATAAATATCATTTTCATATTTTCTATTATTGCCTTTGCACTAACTATTTAAAACAGACTTCTTGCAATTGAACAATACAATGTTGGTATGTAGGTTGTAGGGATAGCTGTCAAGGTCGGAAGTGTTGTTTATATCCAAAATCCTTTGCCTCAATTTCTTTTTTAATAACAACCATATTAAATTTCTATTATATTACAATCAGTTGATTGTACTGTCCATGTCATCGAGTTCAAGGAATTTTTCTGCTGAAATTCAGTAACAATTTGGGACCGAAGAACGGGGACTTTGTCATCTTGAAAAATGTTTTTTGGTTGGAAAATACGGAGCATCGAGTATATCAATGTATTGTAGTACATCAATATTAATATTACGATCTAAGACACAAATTGTCCAAACATTTCCATGTTACATGTATGCATGTCCAGATCATCAAACTTACTTTGACTGACACACCAGGATATTAACACTCTGGCATTCATTTTTCACTCTGTTGCTCTCATTGTAACTTTAAATTATATTCATCTAAAAATGTGACTCCATTACACTCTCTCTCAACTCTCAATAATCTCTTTCCTCTTGCCCATGTCACAAGTTTTTGCCGTTCTCGTCGGGATTCTGGATTTTCTTGCTTAAGATCCTCCTATGAAAATTATTTTCATACAATCATACATTTCTTGAGTGATCTCTGTGGAACTAAAGGATGCCTACTCAGTTTGATTGATAGTAATGCCAGCTAGCGGAACATTACGTTTGGTTTTACATTTCTTAAAAGTGTTCTAGTTTTACGGCTTCTTGGGACGTCTTTGCGTTGTCGGTTGCCTTTTTCACCGACCCGCTAGCTATATAGCTTTGTAAAACAGTAATACACACTGTTTCAAGGAATGTTCAACTCATGGCCTCTAGCTAAATACGTTGTCCTGACAAATATTTGTAAATAATCATTTGCTTCACAGAGTAAACAATTCTTTACATTTCCCAATGTTTATATACGAGAACTTTTCGTTTTCAGCCTCCGTCATAATTTACAAATGACGTCATTGTACGATAGTGGAAAAAATATAAGCTAGTTATAGAATTGTTGTTCGCATGGATTGATCGTGGTATTTGCGAAAAAAAACCTTATATATTTTTAAATAATGATTGTTTAAAAATCATAGCGCTATTTCAAAGTTTGTTCATAAATACGTGACACTTAAATGTAGTACTGTAATTTTAGGATTTTGTCGATTGATTTTCGAATAAAGTTGATTATCCCTTACACCTAATAGTCTGAATTTTTTTTAATTAACAGACAATTAATATGGGCTTTAAATTGACTCTTTTGATCCAAACTCCCTTTAAAATATTCTAATACGTTCATTTATTTCATTTAATGTGATTAAGCTATCAATAACATCAACACGTAAGGTTACGATAAGTTAATATTTTGATAGAAAACATCCTTGTCTCACTATATGATAATGACATAGATAATTGCAGATCTTTTCTCTCTTGAAGCAAAATCTGGATGCCCAGATGGGTGGCTTTCATTCAAATCGAGCTGCTACGTGTTGATACATCAGAAGAAACACTGGGCAGCTGCTCAAGTAAGACAAATGCGTTATGTGCACACCATGGCGGAACATTTACAATTTGCTGCATTTCTTACCTATAAGAATAATTTATCTTTTGTAAAAATGACCTCCTCTGACTTGAAAATTTATTTTACATGTATGTCTCACTCCTCCATGGCACTTGATCCCACCTCTGATGTTTCGGAGGTCCGTGTTTGCTCTGCTCTTATTTTGTATATTTATTTAATGGACTTTGAGATTGAATACTGTTCATTATCTCCATATCCTTCTCGATATAGGCAAGCTTTTCTGTTTAAGAAAGTTTTTATTTATTTATTTATTTATTTTATTTTATTTATTTTTTCTTTTTTTTTGCTTTGATTTGTTATATTACCTGTCTGTTTATTCGACATTGCTTTGTTCTTTATCATTTAAATTAAGTTTCGCTGTTTTAATATAATTAAAGGAAAACGAAAAAAGAATAGTGATTCTTTTCTTTTCTTTTTTGCAGATAGGTTACATTATATTCAAGATAATGTTTATTGATATTTCATAATCATTTAATGTTAACTTTAACTCTATCTTTAAAAAGTCTTTAATTGATGTCATTTTCCCGTGCTTTTGGCAATATTTGTTTTACATTGAAAAATCGAAGGAGGAAGTCGACTTAGATAATTTATTTGTTCCAATGACCTATTCCATACCGATATTATGTTGTAGTATGTCTTTATTACTCATTATTCCGATGCTTCTGTTTTATTGCCCCTATATTCAAATGATGACTGTACCTACTAAAGCTTGTCTATATCCTATAAACACAAAGTATCAGTGTTTTGAAATAGTGCAACGCCTGAAAAGAATATATTTCGTCTAAAACATACCTCATAAAAATGGGCATAAAAATGAAATACGATTGAAGTTCGAAATAGATAGTTTTAATCATGCACATACTTTGGTATCAGTTATATTTTCAATTTATGATTCTAAAACATACCGTATAAGTGGAAATTTTAGCAAGACGCAAATTTAGCGATTTGTCTTTAAAAATTGGAATTATATTTTTAGCGAGATGTAATTTTAGCGATTTAAAAAGCTCACTTAAGAAACTATTACAAATAAAGCGCAATTAATTTTTTTAGCGATATTCAATTTTAGCCATCTTAGTACCCTCGCTAATAATGCCAAAATTAAATGCTCGCTAAAAATTCTGCTTATACGGTATATCTGCGTTCAATTTACAGGACTTTTGTTTAGGCCAGAATGGTTATCTTGCAAATATTGGTGACGCATCAGAAAACCAGTTTCTCCGAGAACAGCTTCAATTACATGGAAATCAAGGTTTTGATCTACCATATAACTCCTACTGTAAAATTTTCAATGTATATTGATTTTATGTATTCTTTTCTAATTGATCTGATATGATGAGGACCCAGAATTGAATATATTTATATTTTAATCATTTAAAAAAAAAAAAAAGATTAAAATGAAACATATTCTCTAAAAATTAAAAAAAAAAACACATTTATACATGTATTATCTTTGATTTACGAGTATATACTTCTTATATGTTTCAAATAGTTACGTTTTTTTTGTTTTTTTTTTTTTTTTGTTATTATTGTTGTTGTTTAACGCCCCCTTCCAGAACTTGGAAGACTCCACTGTTTGCTGGTCGAGAGCTGCAATTTTTTCCTACATGTTTACTCGGTACTTACGGCCATTGAAAAGGGAGTACCTTTTTCGTGCAAGCATTACTTCGATGCGGGACCTCGGCTTATACGGTCTCGTCCGGAGAACCTTTCTCCAAGTCCCACACGTAAGAATCACAACTCTTTACTCCGCAACTCTTGAGCAGAAGCTCTTTCCACTGCGCCATCCGGGAGATTTCAAATACGTAAATATTGTTAAAACTTAAAAATCATGTGGAGCAGAGCCTTACACGATCAGCCAATGAAAACTTCTTTAATTTCATAACCTCGTAGATAAAATGATTCAAAAGTTTTCGAAGCAGTAAAGTAGAATTCATTTGTTTGGAATTATTTTAGGGTTATATGGACCATGGATGTCGACTTTTGTAGGTTGCAGTTCTGATTCATATAGTCCAGCTGCAAATTATTTCTGATCTATTACTCTTTTCCTTCTACATTTGGTGTCGAAGGAAGAGTTGAGGGTCCTTGTTCACGATTAATTGATAAATCCTTACATTGTGAACTAATGTTGTTGCGTGTCCTATAAGCAGGTAAAGAATGCTGTAGTTTTGGTTTCAAACACCCGGACTACTGACCTGTATCTCATAGTAAGAACATCTGAATAGTGAATTTTTTCTTATGTTTGTTTTATAGAAGATTTTTGGGTCGGAGCGACTGATGCCATGGTGGAAGGAGATTGGAGATGGCTGCCAAAATTAGATTATGTAGTTTTCAGTGATTGGGCGAGAGGAGAACCAAATAATCAGGGAGATCAAGACTGTGTGGATCTTGAGTACGGACGTCAATATCAGTGGGATGATGATCGGTGTAACAATTTTAGATCCTTCATTTGTGAAAGTTTGTATCATTTATTTATTTAAAATGTTATCCTCTGGCGCAGAATTAAAAAGAATGTGAGAGAGACGTTAAACAACAAGCAAACAATATTTCAAATCTATGATAAGTTTATAGTATAAACGTCTTTGGAATAAATTACATGTATTACAATTTCAGTAATTGTTTGTCAATTGTTACGTCATTGATCATGATACATGTAGAAGCATCCATTTGACAAATTCTTGCGAAATTAATTGTAAATCTTCTACATGTGCGTGGTACCTGTATTTAACTTGAACATAAGATTTTCATTGAATAAGGATTAACAATGTATAGGTAAATTCGCACACTTTAACCAACAAAGTTAATCACGTAAGGCGAGTTTCTTATAATTCCTTGATTTCCTGCAGTTCATATTTTTTTAAGTGTTATAAGTGAAAAAAACAGAAATGAATGTCTAATTTTACTTTACTTAGCCCTGTTTATGCCAGGTGGCACAAAAGGCAGACAGACAGTTCATCAACCCAGTCCTGTCTTTTGCTTTTATTTCTCCTGCCTTCAATGTCAACCCAATCTCTTTCATCTCGCTCTTTGGTGTTCTTCACTTTGTTGTTTTGGGCCTGTCTCTTTTTGTCATCGTACGTCCAGGAAATTTTCAATGTTAATCTTAAATATAGTCCGTAAGCATCGATTAAAAAAATCACTCAGGAGTTTCCTTGCAAGGTCTTTTCGGAGATTCCAGCTTTTTGATCCGTATAGTAATATTGATATTATTACATTACTATTCAAGATCCCAAGCTCTGTCGTTATGGTCATATAGTAGGATGACTAAACAGGTTTTTAAAATAGCAAAGACATGACGAGCTTTGTTGATTCTTGATGTAATGTTCTCGTCAGTACCTCCTGATGTTGTTACAATATGCTGCCCAGGCAAGTGAAGGTGTCATCTTCCAAATATTCTCCATTTCCTTTTAAGGGGTTGATATTCCTTTCATAAATTTTCATTATTTTTGTCTTGTTTAAGTTGATGTTTAAGCCTAAATTTCTAGATGTTTGTGGGATTTTCGTTTTAATCTGAGATTTGTTGATGGGTGAATGAAATGAAACATAGGTCATCGTCATAATCCAGGTCATTCCATTCTCATCTAAATCATCATTAAATTTGCATCAATCCAATCTAGAATAGAATAGAAAAAAATAAAAGATGCACAAATCATTTGATTAATTTATTATACATTCTAAATATTTATAGAATCTTTCAAATTTTACTTCTTCTTTTTCAGGAGGACAACTTGAGTGAAAGATTTTCAAGCAATGTCTCTTTTCCCCAAATGTAATGGAATATGATTATACAGATCGGTTGCTTGCTCAAAATCATTCCAACCCAATGTTTTATAATCAAAATTATGGGCCGTCAGGACCCCTATCTATTGAATGAATTTTTAATTGAAGCTTTGTTTATTTGTTAAAAGTGGCTAAGTTTTTTTTTTACTATGTGTCAGTCATTATGCATTATATCATGAATAAATTTTATCATTATTTTATTATACATTATACGAATAAAATTTTTCTTCAAAGAGCAAGAGCCACTTTGGGCCTTATTTGGCCCTGAGAATTTCTGAAAAATCAAAACCGCTCAGTTTAGGTAGCAACTACAGCATTTATCACTTGGAGTGTTGGTGACCACGTATCTATTAATCCTGACGTAATTTTCTTTCTAGTCATTACATTATGACGTCATAAAATGCGTACAGGGCCATTTTATGCATAAAGTGAACCTAGCTCTTTACCCATAGAAAAGCCTATAGACTGCGAACAAAGTTATACCAAATTTGTTTTGAAAAGAAGTCATCGTGAAATTAGATCAAGTTAACTGAAAGCACTTTGGCAGGAATATATGTATTTGAGGGGAATAAAAATCAATTCAAATATTCATATATTTATGTCTTTTAAGCTTTACAATTCAAAATAGGGATTGAGGCCTTGGATTCATTCCGAAATCATATAATTGTTACATCGACTGGTCCACTGCCAGTAACACCAATTAATTTGTTTTACAAAAGACACGAATTATATTTTAATGCATTTATTTGTTTCAAACCATACTGCCGATTTGTCCCAACAAGAATCATAGTTCAATGCTTTCACAAGGACCCTAAAAATTGAATACTTTAGATTAGATTTTCTAGAATACATTTATATGGACAATCATAAACGTTTGCTAATATAATTACTTCTAGTTTCTGTGTGCTCCTTGTAATGATGGGGAAATAAAGGAAAATCTGTAGACAAATCAGCATATATATTGTCTGAACAAGTTTTATGGAATCCATAAGTCAGCATTTTACTTTGACTTAATGATAGTTTGAATTCGCTGACAAAGTCATTGAAACGCCAATAGAACTTGCTAACTAATGACTTTAAATGAGATTATTGATATCCATATTCATCAACTTATTTGTCAATAGTTTGCCACGTAATAGAAATTGTTTATCTGTAGTGTATAATTTTGCGCATTGAATCAACTGCGAGACATAAACTTTATATGTAGATTATAAGAGTAAATTTCTTCATACATGTAAGCAAGGAAAGTTGACGATGAAAAAGAAAATCCATTGTCATTACGTTAATCAAGAAGCTTTGTTGTTAAGTTACATCAGCATCATTTTCTATATAAATATCCTTAAATAAGTGAAGAAACAGATGTGTCAGACTTTGTGGTAATTTGTATTTTAAGGCAGGACCCAATAGATAGATCAAATTTTTCCTCAAATTCATTTTTTCTGAAACTTTTATATTTTGTTCTATGATTCAAAATCTCTCTTTATATATGATATGAAAGAAATTCAACCACACATTTTTGCCCACTTAGTCTGAAATATGGTCTACCAGACCCCTGTAAGAAGATTGTAAAATCAGACACTCGACTTGAGAATAAGCCTAATTTCAGAATTATCAATTGATATGTTACAAGATTGTGTTATAATTTTGATAAAGATAACTTTTTTGTTACTTTAACTTAGTAGGTCAAATAGATACTGGGCCATTTGAGAAAAATGTTAATAAAAAATAGAACATACATGGCGTTGGAATTGAAAATTCACATGTTAATATCCTAAGAAAAAATGTGTAATTCAATTTTTGCAAAAAATTGATAGAATTATTAAAACGGGTCCCAGAATAGAATGTGTAAAAAAAAAAAAAAAAAAAAAAATTGAACCAGTGGTTTCTGATATTTTGGCGATTAAAAAAAATTCAATGGCAAAAAAACTAAAAGATTCAGTAGATGACGTCACAGTATTGATTTTTGGCCTCTTGATATGACCTGGACCTTTATAGTACACAAAGAACGGTGACTCCTTATCTGTGTGTCCAAATATCAGCCCTGTACTATTTATTGAAGAAAAGTTACAGTGTATTTTATATCAGGCTGTTACATGCTTGTTTATTGCACTTAGATAGCGTAAAAACATTCCAAAATGTACGCTCCCAAGTGACCAATATATAGGATTCTCCGATTTTTTCAAAAAATTTGACGCAATCATGCCAAAACTTGTTATTTTTCTTACAGGGATCATTCATTGATGTCAATATAGTAATATTATTCTTTTTTTTCTCCATTATTTTTTAAGAAATGAGTAAAAATAGAATTCATGAGTGTTTTGTACTACCATAAGCTCACTGGAAAAAAATTGAGTCAACATACAAATGGAAGAAACTGGAAATGGGGCAGATTTAACGATTATAGAACTGTAAAACTGGGTTGTTTTTGAAAATTATTGGACAATAGCATAAAATAATTCTGAAGATTACTGTTAATGTATTATATGAATGATATGGGAATAACAAACAGTATTCAATATCAAAGTCCATAAAACAATACAAAACAGGAGCAGAGCAAACACGGATCTCTGAAACATCAGAGGTTGGACCGGGTGCGATGGAGAAGTTAGCATCCCCTGTCGACCGGTCACACCTGCCGTGTGCTCCTTGTCATGATCGGGAAATGACGGGAAAAATCCGTCGTCAAATCATTGTATAGATAATGGACTAACAAATAGTATAAAAAAAATTCAGTTAGCATTTGACTCGATGATAAATTGTATTTGCTGACAAGGTCATTATATCGACCAAAGAACTTACAAAATGATAATTTAAACGAGACTGCTGATATTCTTGTTTCATCAACTTGTCTGTCGATAACTCACCTCGTTTTAGAAACTGTACCTACGTAGAGAATGCTCTTGCGTATCGAATCAACTGAAATATATAAACACCGTATGCAGGTGATGAAGGTATATTGCTGCATAAGTAAAGGAAGTTGACGATAGAAAAATCATCACGTTTATGGTAGAGCTTGGTTGTTAGATTACCATTAATGTCTTTTCCAAGTAAAATATCCCAGTATGATACAGATGTGTCAGACTCTGTGGTATCTTTTATCTCAAGCTCCCCAGGATATATCGTATCGACATAGGAATGGAAATTACCATTGTTAATTGACCACGGGTCGTCAATATATGTAAATGTTGATTTGAAGGCCACAGCAAGTGTTTTCTTCTTGTCATGCATAAGATTTTGCACAAATTCTGTTTCATATGAATACAGAAATAGGTCTGCTAATAACGGAGCGCAAATGGTACCCATGGGAATTCCAATAGATTGTTGGAAGACCTGGTCACCAAAAACCACAGATATTGTCAATGAGAAACTCAAGCATCTTTTTTATGTCAACTGCAGAGTACCTTTGTGTGCAATCAGAATGTGTTTAAACAAAATTGTTTTGCAAATGACCAATGACCAGGTAAGTAAATTTACGAGTTCCGTTTTTATTGAAAAAGCAGCTGTCAATGATATCAAAAAGCCGGGACTTTAATTTATCGTGGGCAATGGTTGAGTATAAAGTTGAAAAGTCGTAAGTTTTTAAGCTGTTGATTTTTGTAAAATCTTGTGATTTCAAATTGTCAAAAGTTCTTTGGAATTTTTGAGTATCCACATCTGATTCATACGACTTCTTGAATATATCTTAAAAGGTAAATATTATTATATTGTCTGGTGTAGGAAGTTGGCGCAGTACCCAAAAAGTGCAGTTAAAATCAGTATATTGTATTTTAAATCCTACAGAAAAGTAATTACATTGTACAGGTTTGTATTTTTTTTTTAATGGAAATGAATATGTTTAAAATGTATTATTAACTATGTTTCTTCAAATTTTGGTGTTTATGCTTTAAAGAATATCAATTTTATAACGTTTTACAGACACTGGGTTGAAATCCGACTTCTTGAAAAATGGCGGCTGAGTTGACACAGGCTGCACACTGCATTGAGATATAGAGTTTTGATCCTGAATTCACTCATACAGAAATGTACAAGTCATAAATGTTTGGTATACAAGGGAATATTTTCTGGTACTTCGTATTTGAAATGACTGATATGAATAACGGAAACTAAAAAAAGAAAGACATGTCTAAGAATTAGGCAAGTTAAAGTTAAAGCAATAAAAGCTGACTGCATGTGCGATTTCATTAGAGAGGACAGACGAAAACCTGGAGAAATTGTTTTTTTTTTTTTTTTTTTTTTTTTTTTGTTATTTCATGCCTGCATGTGCATACATATACTTTGTTAACATAATTTATTTTTCAATGTTTGATTATATCATAGTGATTAAGATATTTCATATCAGATAATTTAATTTAAGATATTTCATATCTATAATCGTTTTGATTAATTACAAAATGTGATTTTGATAATTGGAATATTTTCCAAACTGTTCACAATTGTACGATGGCCGATATGAGCCATCAAATTACAAGTAAGAGTAGCTATATTTTGTACGCAGAATTATTTGACTTTAATAGTATTAAATGTACCACTTTGTACATTGTACACTTTGTCAATGGCAAAACGCATGTAGTTGTAATATTAATTTGTACATGTACAAATCTTGAGACAAAATACACGCGAGACTTCCTTACATTCCTTAGATTTATTAGGAAGATTATCTGTAAACTTAGAAGGGAGAAAATTAAAAACATGCGTTATCTGATTTTCTTCTATTTTCTCCTGTTCCTCACATTTTTAGTTGTTAAATTAATATCGTGCACCTTGCATCAATTGATCGCAAAATGCAACGAGATTGGTTTTTTGGCCTTTGATCTCAAAATTTAAATTTTTGCATCATAGTATATTTTGCAAGTGTCTTTATTTAGATTTCTCGAAATTGGTTTTGTTAATTATAACTTTCATTTTTAATAATCCAGAAGTGAAAAAAGAAATAGATATATTACATGATCAGTACCTACTGGTCCCTGCTGACAAAGCAGGCAACAACATTGTCTTCGTTTGTAAGGCTCATTATGTAAATTGTATTTTTGAAGAACTTGGATTTTATTCTACAAGTGGTAATCCGACTTATACTCATAGTTCCCTTTCTAAGGAAGAAATTCTTCAAAATTTTATGTCAGTTTTGAATATTTTTAATATCCCGAAGAACCAAAAGGATATTGAACTACCATACATTTACTGGATTCCGAAACTTCATAAGGATCCTTACAAACGATACATTGCGGGTTCCAGTAAATGTTCCACCAAGCCTCTTTCTTTACTCCTCACTAAGATATTGACAGCAGTGAAGGAAAAACTCCAAGAGTACTGTGCAACATAGTTTATTTTGTGTACTAGTAGTTACTCCATATTTGTCCATAATTTTTTGGTCAGTGTTGGTTAAATCTGTGTACAAAGTTTCATTAATAAAAACTTATATTATGTCGCACTTTTGGAACTGCTAAATAATTTTCACCTTGAAAAATTAGAGCGG